ATAAGGTACTGTAAACAACTCATAAAAGAAAAAGGAAAAAAAATTCAGACTTCTTCTCTGGTACAAAGGGAAAGTCAAAAAGTTTTACATGGATTTTCCAAATCTCGGGAGGCAGTGGGGAGCCCCTAACCCCCTTGATGTGGAAGGGATAACTGTATATGTCTACTGAGTAGATGCACACATCCACTCATCCATCCATCCATCCATCTATCTATCCATCCATGCACTGCAAATACACTCTTTTACCAGGGGCCTATGAAATGAGAAAGTTAAGAATCCTTCTTCAAACCCTTCCACAAGCCAACTGGTACCCCTAGTGTGAAAACTCCAAGAAATCAAGGGGAAGGGAAGAGAATATTTCTGTTCCTTCTTTCATTCTTTTTCAATGGATCTGTTCTGCCATTGCCCCTGCCAGGATCAGAACAAAAACTAGACTCAAACACCCAGCTTCCCTACTGTGCTCCTGTCATACTCCTGTCATATGAATTTGCTTCCTTCCAAGTTGAGACCATTACAGGAAAATCTGGAGAAACAGGAGTCTATTGACTCCAGAATGGACTAGGAAGTGAAAGTTTGGGTTTAATTATTCCATCCTCCAACTTCTAGTAAAAACACATTGGTTATCACAGGCTATCCACTTCCACCTGTCCAGAATCTTGAGTGAGTTACTTGGAAGGGCTTTGATCTCCATAGAATAACATAAAATATCTTTATTACTATTGTAAAAAAAGGACTTGAAAGGTGAATGCAGAGCATCAGAACAGATTATAATTGCAAGGACTCTATTGGATAAAGCATGGGGGAACCATTGTATCTGAAGCCTGAATGAGTTTGCCAGGGATTAGGAAATAGTGCACCTGGGGAAAGTGGTTAGGTGGGTGCGAACATCTTGATTTTATGAGGCAAATTAAAATAGAATAGAACTTGTAGGCAGAAGCAGTTAAGAGAGAAAGAAAGAGGGGGAGGATAGGAGAGAGAGGGGAAAAACACATTCCCTTTTGTGTACTTGATATGGAGTATCTCCAAACTCTGATCTCCAGAAAGTCTTTTCTGGGTTGTACCTGTTTCCTGTAAAAGGAAGATACTATTAAAGGATTTATGATGTCATTGATATGAGAACTCCTTCCATCAACATAGTTCACAACCTACCTGTAACTTAGACAAATCTAAGAGAGTCTTTTAAGGCTTAGAGAGATTAAATAACTTGCCCATGGTCTACAGTTAGTGGGTGCCAAAGGAAGGATTTGAATTCAGGTCTAGTACTCTTTTCACTACTCCAGACTTTTCCATATGAGGATAATAATAGTACGTACATCACAGGATTGTATTTCTTATCTATCTCTGTCTGTCTATCTATTTATCTGCCTCTCTCTCTTTCTCTACCCCGGCCCCCTTCTCTTTGTTAATACTAATTATTTGGTGAGGATGTCAGATCATGTTCTTAAATGCTTTGAACTTCTGAGAGAGAAAGTGCTATACAATCTGCGTAATACTGTATCAAATGTTTAAAATAACCATGTCTTCCCTGAAGATTAGGGGCATTGCATTAATTATTTTTGCTTATTACCATAGCCCAAGTTCTTTAGACTGAAAGTTCTCTTTGTCAGACTATACTGACTTGATCATAAAAGCTTCTGATTTCTAATTAAATGTCTATGTGCTTTGATTCCACGTGTGGAAAAGAATGTTGAAGAAGCATGATTTCTTTTATTTTTTTTTAACGTTTTATTGATGCCTTTTGTTTTTAAGTCATAGGCATTTCTAACTACTCCCATCCTAGATAGAACCTTCCCACGTGACAAAGCAAAAGCAATTAAAGCAAAATCTCAGAGAAACCTTGTTTGACCATAATATTCTGTCTTCTCTGCTATTAAGGAGGAGATATATGTTTCATGATCTCTTTTCCAAGACCTTAATTGATTTTTCTATTACTGAGAGCTCAGTTTCCTTTTAGTGATATTTTACTTACATTTTAATAAGATTTCTTTAAAAATATCTTTAGTGCTCATCTCTTGTTGGGTGAAACAGAATGGCATCGTAGCTAGAGAGCTGGCCTCAGAGACAGGAAGACATGGATTCAGATCTTAACTCTGGTAATCCAGCTAGTGTGACCCTGCCCTCCCTGCCCTTTAATTGGCAGCTCTGGGACACTTTTACATTTCAGAGAAGGGAGGAAAGACAAACACTAATTAAGCACCTACGATGTGCTTGGCACTATGCAATTATGCTTTACAAATATTATCTCATTTAATCTTCACTACAACCCTATGATGCAGGTATTATTATTATCCCCATTTTACAGTTGAGGAAACTGAGGCAAACAGAGGTTAAATGGTTTTGCCTGGGTCACAGCTTGGTAGAGAGAGTTTTCTCCCCCAGAAGTTCTCTGTACCAAGGAAATCAGAGTTAAAAGTCCTAGTCCCTTTTCTTAAAAACTTAAAGGATATTTAAGAATGTCTTCAAGTCCTTCACTAAAATTCAGACAGGTTAGTGTACCATGTAAAAGTGGAACTAGAAAGTGGACAGAAAAACCCGAAGTAGTGAGAGGGGGGATTTCACAAGTGTCCCTTCTGGGAATATGATCTCTTCTCCTGTAGGGGATTGTATAAACAGAAATACTCTGTTTCTAAAACTTCAATTTGAAAGAATTACTAGAGTCTCCAGACACTGAACAGCAAAAAAATAATTTACTAAGTGCCTACTTCGTGCAGAAGAGTATTTTTGGTACCGGGAGTAACAATTATTTTTCTTCTAAAATGTTTTGTTGTTGTCGTTGTTGTTTTCACATCTCTGTCACTTTCTGTTCCCCACCCTTAAAGAGAATCCTCTCTTATAACAAATAATTATTGTCAAGCAAAGCCAACACTTTGGCCCTATCTGAAAAAGTATGTCTTCTGTCCCTCTAGCCCATCACCTCTTTGTAAGAAAGGAGAACTACGTTTCATCATCAGTTCTCTGAAGTCATGATTGGAAACCAAATTGATCAGAGTTGTAAAGTCTTTCATTGTTGTTTTCCTTTACAGTATTATGGCTATTTTGTAAATTGTGCTGGTTGTGCTTATTTGCTGTGCATCAGTTCATACAAGTCTTCCTAAGTTTCTCTGAATTTTTCATACTCATCATTTCTTATGATGAATATAATATTCTATGATGTTTATGTCACAATTTCTTCAACTGTTTCCCACTTTCCTTCTGATTCTTTAAAAAAGTACAACTTCATTTTTATTTTTGTATGTATGTGACTTCTTTTTGGCTCTGACTTCTTGGGGGTTACATGTTTAGTGTTGGAATCAATGAGTCAAAAGATATACAAGATATGGATAGTTTGGTGACTTTTTAAAGTATAATTTCAAATTATTTTTGGAAATGGTTTATTTAATGTGTAGCTCTAACAGTGCATCAGTATACTTGTCTTCCCACAGCCCTTTTAATATTTACAATCTTTATTTTTGTCATTTTTTGCCAATCTAATGGGTATGAAATAAAACCTCAGAGTTGTTCTAAATTGACTTCTTTTGTTAGTCATTTGGAGTACTCTTTTATACTGCTATTGAGAGCTTGCATATTTTCTTTGGAAAACTGTTCCTACACTTTGACCACTTATCTATTGGGGAATGACTCATTCTTATTCATAATTCATACACACACACACACACACACACACATATAATATGCCTCCCACTGAGCAAACAGAGAAAGAGTGGAGATCAATAAAAGAGGGAGAAAAAAGAAGAGGGGAGCAATGAGGAATAAACTATATCAGTGCAGGCCATTCACAGGAACAGATCAGAAGGAACAGGAAGTAGAAGTACAATGTTACAAAATATACAATATTATAAGTAATTTTATCAATTCATTATATCTCTTTGATGTCAGACCTTCATCAGAGATGAGATATAGGCTTTAGAAAAGCCAGTCCCTGCTTTACAGAATAACTGGGGGACAGCAGACTAATATTGACAGCTCTACTATACAATATAATATAATATAACACAATATAATATAACACAATATAATATAATATAATATAATATAATATAATATAATATAATATAATATATATAATATAATATAATATAATATAACATAACATAACATAACATAACATAACATAACATAACATAACATAACATAACATAATATAATATAATATAATATAATATAATATAATATAACATAACATAACATAACATAACATAACATAACATAATATATCATATCATATCATATCATACAATATCATATCATATCATATAATATCATATAACATAATATAATATAATATAAATTACAAGATAAGTTCATTAAATAAGGACCAAAGTGCTGTAAGTGGTCTGAGGGGGAAGGCTATTACTGACCAGAGGTCAAGGGAAGGCTTTGTGAAAAAGGTAGCACTTATGCTGGGTTTTGAAGAATAGATAAGAATTAAAGAGGTGAAGAGGAGAGGTCCAGGAAATAGTAAACCTATGGAGGGAGTGTGAGACCCCAGGGCCTGTTTGGGGGAGGGAGGTCAGAGACTTGTCTGGTTTGACTGGAACACAGAGTGAATGGAGGGGAGCATTACCAGGTAGGATTGGAAAGAATAGTGATGCCAGATTATAAAGATGTAAAATAGGCATATGCACATGGGTTACTTAAATGTATAGACAAGGCTGGTGGGAGGCATGGATAGATATGATCTGAGACCTAGCTCAACATTGTAGAGAGGAGGAGAACCGGAGGTATGTCCTGTAGCTTCAGCACATTTCCTGTGGAGAGGTGGGGAGGAAGAGGCAGGTAGGCCCCAGGAGTGCCTCAAGGCTCAATGGTCTTTTCTCCAGTCTCCGAGAGAGGTTTCAGGTTAGAATTATATTAATCTTTCCCCTCAAATATTTCTGTTCTAGGGTTACAATGTTCAGGAAAAACAACTTTCCTGGTCACTCTCATGGGAGTAGCTTAGACTTGCAAGCTTAATTAACTTCTTTTCACCAAATTCTGGTTATACAAAAGAGCAGCACGAATAAGTAGAGAAAAAGCTTATTTAACCATGTATAATAACAAACAGAAATTGGAGAAGTTCTACAGATCTTAACATGACAGAAAATAGATAAGAGGGAATAACCTCTTCAACTGGGAGAGGGCTAATGGAGAGGGCCTAATCTTCCCCAGGACGTCCATTCAATCCCCGGGGAAGTAAACTGGAAATCGGGGATGTGTTGAACAGCTGGCTTCCCCTACATATGTGTTACTTCTCTCTCCTCGACTCTTTCCCAAAGAGCGTTGGACTCCCCACACCTCTTCTGAAGAAGCTCTGGAACCATCTCAGGAGCCCTCTACACAGTAGGTAAGCATCATTGCCTCTGCATTCTTGAAGCCAATCAGGAGTCCCATCTCCTTCCACATGTGATACACACGACATACCCCAGGCTTGACTGGAAGTCCAATTACATAGAATTTTAAATTTTAGGTAAAAGAGTTTGAATTTGATTTCACAGGCAACCAGGAACCTTCGAAGACTTCTGAGCAGAGGCCTGGCCTGGCCAGATCAGGAAGATTATTCCACTATCTGTACAAAGATAGATTGAAGGGGAGATAGAATGAGGGGTGGGGGATGTCCTGTGAGGAGGCATGATGATATCAGGAACTAATGGAGAAGAGGGGATTTACAGGTTGGAATCTACAAAGGCAAAGCAGTGCTGTGGAAAGAATACTGAATTTGTAGTGAGAGGGTCTGTGTTCAGACTGGTTTTTTACCACTTAATACCTGTGTGTGATTTTGAGCAAGTAACTTTCCTCATTGACAAAATGAAGGACCTTTCAGAATGCTTTGGATAGACTAGGTGACCTCAGCAGTCTCTTCTAGCTCCAAATCTTTAACTTTGTGAACTGTTTCCAGACATGTGGCTTTGCTAAAGTGTAATGCCCAAGCAAATAGTCCCAGTGAGGCCTCATAGACCCATGGGATGTAAAGCTACAAGGGACCTACGTGGTCATTCTATCCAAGTCTTCTAGTTACAGATATAGAAATTGAAATTGAAAGGGATTAAGTGATTTGACCAAGTATAACAGTTAATAAGGACAGTCAAGTGGGTGTGGAGTCAGAAGGATCTGAGTTCAAATTTGACCACAGACACTTATTAGCTGTGTGACCCTGGGCAAGTCACTTAACCCTCTTTGCTTCACCACATCAGCATCTTTGCCAAGAAAATCCCCAAAAAGGGTCATGAAGAGTTGGACATGACTGAAAACGACTGAACAACAACAGATAGTAAATAAGAGAGTACAGATTTTTTGTTTCTGATTCCAAATCCAGTGAGTCCACAAAAGAAGTCACCAGAAGGAGAACATCCTTCTCCCACCCTCCTCCATATCTACTTCCCCCACACATAACGAAGTCACTTAAGGTGGTGAGTTGAATGTGAACCCCTTTGCAAAGTTTTTCTTGGAGATCTTTGATATTTAAATTTATGCCACTTCTGTGAGTAACAGATTTTTTGGTAGGAGTTAAAGTAGGAGTGAGTGCCTAGTTATATAAAAGGGAATTTTGCATATGTCCACAGTTGGCAGCACTAATGTCAGGGACACTTTCATATGATACTGAGGGAAGAGAATGCTGGAGTATATAGCCAAACCTTGAGGGTGTCAATAGCTACTGGTATCCAATGGCACCATTCTAAGGTTAGGATCTTGAGAGTTCATATTTCTGGTGAACAAAGGACTTGGAGAGTTAGGGACCAATTTTTCCCTGCATGTCCCTGGATAGAAGCCTTACAAACAAGCCTGAGAGAACCATATAAAGTACCTTAATAATTTTATGTGAGCTGCATGTGTTTCCCCATAAAGGTATCCTTACAAAATAAATTTTAAACTTTCATGCCTGGTCATCAGCAATGTTCTAGAATGGTGAGCCCATCTCACGTGGAATAATTTTTTATTTTTAAGTTCACTAGATTAGAAATCAAGGTGTCTGAGCACATGGGGGAGGGGGGAGGAAGCAAACTGGTACGATGGAACACTGTACCTGGAGTCAGGAAAACTTGATCTCAAGTTTTCTTACTAGCAGTGTGACCTTGGGCAAGTCACAACTTTCATTTGCCTCAATTTCCTCATCTCTAAAAATAGGGATAATAAGAGCAACTCCCTCCCAAGGCTGTTATAAAGACAAAATGAGATAATATTTGTAAGGTGCAGTGTATACCTTACAATGCTTGTTCTCATTGTTTAGTTGGTTAATGTGTCCAACTCTCTGTGACCTCACTTGGGGTTTCCTTGGCAAAGATACTGGAGTGGTTTGCCATTTCCCTCTACTGTTCATTTTACAGATGAAGACACTGAGGCAAACAGGGTTAAGTGACTTACCCAGGGTCACACAGCTAATACGTGATTGACGCCAAAATTGAATTCCTGTGTTCCTAAGGACAGGTCCCTTGCTCTATCCACTGTGCCACCTACCCACCCTTAAACTGCTATATAAATGCTAACTATTATTACCTGCTCTGCCACTAACTAGCTATGTGACTTAGGGCTCCAGTTTCTATCTCTAAGATCACTTCTAGTTTTTAAAAAAATATATAAAATAAATATACAGTAAACTTTGTTCATGTAAGTCCTTAGTGAGTTAATTCACATAACTCTTTGAGGCAGTGTCTTTTTATCTATATTTTACAGATGGAGAAACTGAGGATCCAGGAGGTTCTCCACTAGCCAGCACCACACCAACCATGGGTTATAGCAAATGGAGAAATTTTGAATACTGTGGATAAATTCACTTACCTTGGCAGTATACTTTCCAGGGATGTACACATAGATGATGAAGTTGACCCAAGCATTTCCAGAGCTAGTTCACTCTTTGGGAGGCTTTGAAGGCAAGTATGAGAGAGAAGAGGTATTAGACATGCATGGGCTTCCATTTGAATTGTCTTAGGAAGATTCCAAAGATCACTTGGCAAGATAAGGTACTGAATACTTAGGTCCTTTTTGGGGGGGGGGCACGCGATGCAATTGGGGTTAAGTGACTTGCCCAGAGTCACACCGCTAGTAAATGTTATGTGTCTGAGGTCAGATTTGAACTCAGGTCCTCCTGACTCCAGGGCTGGTGTTCTATCTACCTCACCACCTTGCTGCCTCACTTTGGTCCTTTCTTGAACTAAATTGCCAAGCATTCAAACTCTACTGAAGGGAGCTTGATTCCAATGGGCTGAGCACACTATTCAAATGCCAAAAGTACATTTGTCTAAATGTCTATTTTATGGAGAGCTCCCACAAGGCAAGCACTCACATGAAAGTCAGAAGAAGCCATACAAAGACACTCTCAAGGTGTCTCTGAAGAATTCTCGTATCAATTGTGAGACACAGGAGATACTGGCACAAGACCACCCAGCATGGCATGCCCATATGAAAGAAGGCACCATGCTCAATGAGAAAAGCAGAATTTCAATAGCTCAAAAGAAATGTGAGATGCACAAATTTAGGGACATCTCCACCCCAAACATTCACATGGATTATTTGTGCCCAATCTGTGGTAGAGCCTTCTGAGCTCATATTGGTTTGATCAGCAACAGACACACTGTACCTTGACCCCAACATAGTGATGTCATTTTCATCTTCTTCCAGCACAAAGAACAACTAACTAACTTCTCTAAGATCCTACCACAAAACATTATTATAGTGGCAGTTCAGCAACCTAATTTTTTTGTTTGAGTCCATTTTATATCACATAGTCTGCTGAGTTTTATGCTGTTTTGCAATCCTTACCTTCCGTTTTATTTCTCCCATATTATGTCATGTCAAGGACACTGGATCTGGAGCCAGAGGGCCTCGGTTTGAATACTGCCTCTGCTACCTGGGAGCTGTGTGACCTTGTGCAAGTTGCTTCACCCCTCTAAGCCTCAGTCTTCTTATCAATAAGATATGGGATTTACACTAGATGTTTTCTAAGGTCTCTTCCAACTCGAAATCTATGATAATAGGACTTCAGCTTTGCTGCTTGTTGGTTTTGTGATGGGCATGTTACTTCAACTTTCTGGCCTGAGCTTCCTTAGCTATGAAATGTGGGGGTTGGATTACGTGATCTTGGAGGTTCCTTCTATGATCTTATGATTTTCCATAACTTTGTTTCTTCCTTATTTGCCCTGGCCTGTTTTTAATTTCCCTTGGTGTTTCTTTGATTTTTGAAAACATGTATTCCTTTCTTGGCCTTTTGCTTGAAGTGATTAGATTTCAGGTAAAATGATGACAAGGGCCTCTTGTGCAGGACCGAGGGGTCTGCTGGTTTGGAGGACTCTCTGAGAGGGTGTTTTTGAAGCTAGGTTATGGGAATTATGATTGGGGTGTTCAGACTAGCAAAGGAACTAGACAAGATGAGAGTGGCCTGAAAAGGGAAGTCCAGTCAGCAGAGGTAGATGGAATCAGTCACAAAATCACCTGTAATTCAGCAAGTAAATGTTTCCCACCGAGCAAAGGGGGAAAAGAAGCAATGAAATGGAAAGAGAAGGAAAGAGGGAGAAAGAAAAAAGGAAGAATGAGGAGACGAGTGTATGGTAAAGGATGAGTTGCATCAGCAAGGGCCCTTTGAGGGAATACATCAGGACTATCTTCCTTATTTTAATTCATTTCAGTTTAGTAAACATTTATTAAGCACCTGCTATGCCCCAAGAACTGTACTTAGGGCTGGGAATACAAAGAAGAAAAAAAAAACATAGACCTCGTCCTCTGTGTACTCACATTCTAAAGGGGGAGATAACACGCAATTATGCACTTACTGTCTTACTCCGATTCACAACACATTGATAGGAAAAAGCTATTAGTAAGCATTGAACCCTTTCTAGGTTGGAAATATGTGTTCTTAGGTGATGTCTGGAATCCTGCTCTTAATTGGTAGATGCTGGGCCAGCAGGCTAGGCACTTAACCCTCTCTCTGTTTGCTCCCTTCTGGGATTCCAGTGGTTTTTAGAAATGTCAAAGAATGAAGCTCTGCCCTTCTCCCAAGTCTTATCATGATTTGCTTCAGCTGTTCCTTCTAGTAGGACATATTCATCAGGGGCAATATCTATTTATTGATCTATTTCTGTTGATCTATTAGCCTTGTTCTCTGTTATTTCTCCTTATAAATGATGTTGGCAAGAAGCATGGACCAGCATCTGTTGGCTGAACAATTAAGCAGTTTGAATCAGGGTTTGAATTAATTTCCTCAAGGGATAAAGTCAAAATGTTTCATCAAAAAAAAAAATCACTGTAATTTCTAGCCTTTCATTCCAGTACCATTTTTCCTTTTATGTTCTCTTGAGGCTGGGCTGGGGATTTTCTTTCTTTGTCATTATCAAAGAAAAACCCTCTTTTGTTTATAAAGTGACTAACACCTGTCCTTTCCTTGAAAAGCAGATACTAGAAACCAGCTAAGGGTATCTTATAGGAAGTGATAATCAAAGCTTCCTACTGGGGGACCAAGATCTGGGTGGGCCTAAATGAATTAAAAGGAACAACTGGAATAATTAGAAAAAAATTAAAGGTTTTGTCCATCAGGATGAAATTTACATAGGGAGAATTCCATTTCCATCTTAGCACCTCAATACCAACCAGCAAATTTGGTTGTACTGCTTAAGGAAACACTTTAGTGGCTTAAATTCATTTTTGGTTTGTGTGACCCTTGAAGGTGACCTCAAAGGATTGACTGCTCTTCTCTGTTTTATGGTCTTTGTCTAGGTCTCCTGACAGCTGCCCTGAATTTCCCAATGACACCTGCAGTTGTGACCCCTGAATTGAGAATCCATTAATTCCTTCCATCTGCTTGGATCAACAGCTATGGCAACCCTGGGCTTACAAGTTCTCATGGAGGGCAGAGACATCATTTGGGTAAATCTAAATATCAGGACTTGATGTACTGATACCATGGAGAACTGCTATCACACTTTTTATAACTGAAGCATAAAAGCACTATGGTTTTTGGAAATAAATAGATAGTCATCATTGACTCCTTTTTTTAAACACATAAAGAGAAGAGAAAAGATATGATCTTTCTTCACAAATTAAGTTATTAAGTTCCAGCATTATGACTTGAGCTCCACAGATGGACAGGATGGCCATTTCCCCCTCTTTTTCTGGTCCAAAGGGCTGAGTAGATTCACGTGGATAGTGACCCTAATGGCAGCTGTCTTTCATAATCACACAATCCAAATTGAAAGAGGACTCAGAGGCCATCTAGCCCAGCCTGTACCTGAATATAAATTTCCTTCTGCAATATTCTGACAAAGAGGTTATCTACATAGTGTTACAGTGGAAAAATATTGCTAGGAGGCTGTAGTCCTACCTACTCTCTCCCCTCAACACAAAGCTTCAGATGCAGAATGGAATAAGTTATCTGTAAAGGAGATTTTTGGTGCCTCAACATCTTAGCATAAGAGCATAGTCATGTTTCCAAAAGTAAACAGATGCCAGGCTGATGTGTTACCTAACCCATTCTTCAGTGTAGCTTCCTTATTTATGCCTAATATGTACACTTACTCTTTTTTTCTTTGCCTTTTCATTTTTTAAAATTTATTTTATTTTGCATTCATAGAACAAAGCAATCATTTTCATAATACAGTAAAATAAAAAAGGTGATTGTACATGAAACTGTGAATCTACCACATACAACTTGCTATTCCCTCCAAAAACACATTTTTTAGAAATAAAACTTTACTCTCTATCAGAAGTTGATCCCATATCACTCCTTTTCTCCCCATTTACAAAAATTTATATATAATTCTTACATTAGTCTTTTCCTGATCTCTCCTCCCCACACACCGCTTTGAAACCTCCCTTCTAATAAAGGGAAAGAAAAAAACAAAACAAAACAACCCAACAACAGTTAAACCTAATTGACCAAAACAACCAGTGGGACAACATATGTTACATTTCCGACTAGTAGCTCCTCACCTCCTGGTGGAGTAGATGTAGCTTTCATCTTCTGTTGTCTGGAACGAAGATTGTTCGTTGCAGTTAAGATTGTTCAGCTTCCTTTTATACTGTTTTAACTTCCTTTATTGTCAGCATTGTATATATCGCTCACAATTTTTAAAGTTATCTCAACCAACTTATAAAAGGTAAACCTAAAAGCACCATCTCACATTTTAATCTTGGTTTGTGAGGAACTGCCTGTGATGGAAGAAAGTCTTATTAATTCACCAACTCACCTGGTAAGCTAACTTGTTTTGAAGCAAAATCTAAAGGAAGTAGTAACCTTGGAAAGTTACAAATGAGCATGGCTTGAAATGTATCTTTAGCTTCGAGTTGCAGGGATGTTGTGGGGACTGAAGATGTGGGGACGAAAGGTACTTTAAAATAGGGGCAAGGGAAACATTTCATTTCAAGATGAGCTAGTCTTTCGCTCTATTAGTTTTTCTGTCTACTCTGGCCTAATCCTTTGGGGACAGTGAAAAGGATTGCAAAATTAATTAAGGATTGGGTGGGGGTGGGGGGAAGTAACTTACAAAAGCTTGTAGATGGAATGGTATTAGGCAGCTTGTCTTGATTTCCTCCTGCCAAAATGAGATTCATCGAAGAAAGCCTTTAACTAAATTAACACCTCTCCTCCAGGATCTCCTCCCCCCCAGATGTTTACAACCAACTGCAGTCCTGTTGGATACCAATGTGGGTAATCAACAGAAATGGTTCTATTAAAGGGCTGGAGACAGCCTCGTGGGATGTTTTATTTACTTTCAACTTAGAAAAAGGAGGCATTCACTGGCGGACTTGCTTATCCAGCCAGCCTGGCTAGCTAAAGAACCCACAAGGAGAAAATAGAAAGCTCTTTAACTCGATGAAGAAGCTTAGGGCGGTTTTCTTGCTCCCACAAGCTGTTGGTTTGACAGTGTTATTTCCTGTTTGTAGAAGGGAGGCTCGAGAACCGGGTTTGGGGAGCGGCCCGGCAGCGCAGGGTAGTGGCCAAGACAGCAGCGGGCCCTTCCTTTCAAAGGGAGGATCAGGGCCAGCTGGGCTGTGAGCAGCGGCGGCAGCAGCAGCAGCAGCAATAGTAGCAGCAGCACCAACACTAGCAGCACTCGCCGGCCCATTATGGGAAATTGCAGAAAACAGAAGCGTCCTTGTCAAACAAAAAACCAGCCGCCGGTCCCGTTGCTGCTTTCGAGTCCCCGCTGTCAAGATCAGCCCCCGCAGCCCGGGGCACTGGACAACACGGGGTAATTAGCAGCTGGTGGGTAGGGCCAGGACCAAGAAAAGACACAATCTCTGTGTTGAAGCCGGCCCCAAGACAAGACACAATCTCTGCCTTGAGGAACTGGAAGCCCTCTGGGTGGGAGACAGGGAGAAGGCAGTCCGAGACAAAAGGAGACAGGCGCAAGTCCCGCAAGAATCGTGGGCTGGGGTTTGGGGTCCTGAACTTCTTTTAGAGACTTAGCAATTTTAAGGGCTTTTGGAAGCATTATGGTAATGGTGGAAATGGACCTGGAATTAGAATTAGGGTTTCAAATCTGGCTCCACCATTTACTAGTAAAGTGACCTTGAGCAAATCATTTAATTTGTGATCCTCAGTTTTCTCATTTGTAAAAAGGAGAGAATACTTCAACTGTCTGTCAGCTCACTGGGCTGTTGTCACAACAAATGAGACAGCGTCTATAAAAGCACTTTGAAACGTTACAGGGTTACATATACACACATTTGTTTTTGTTCAGTCGTGTCGGACTCTTCACAACCCCAATTTGGGGTTTTCTTGGCAAAGATACTGAAGTGGTTTGCCATTCCCTTCTACCGGTCATTTTACAGATGAGGAAACCAAGGCAAACAAGGTTAAGTGACTTGCTCAGGGTCACATAGCTAATAAGTATCTGAGGCTAAATTTGAACTGTGCTCCTGAAGCTAGGTCCCACCACCATTCTGCTACCTAGATGGTGTATACACGCGTACACACACGAGCTGCAGATAATAATGTGAATATAGAAAATAGCAGCTGTTATTTTTCACCATTAGAAGGAAAATGGCAGTGAGAGAATCCTACACATTCGGAAGGTGGTGATTCTTATAGATTTAGGAGCCTATAATTGTGAGAGCTGGAAGTAACCTTAAAGTCCAATTCTCTCATTTTACAGATGAGGAAACTGAGGCCCAGAGACACTATGTGAATTGCCCAAGGTTGCACAAGTATTGAATGAGGCGGGATTCAAACCAACATCTTATGACTCCAAAAGACAACAGTGGCTTTCCATTCACTCATACAGTTTTGAGAGACAAAAAAGAGAGCTCAAAGGATCCCCTGAGAATGAAGAGCACATTCCCTGGAGATCAGAGTGGGATTTCCCTTAGTTGCTCCTCTGGCTCATTCACCATAGGCAGTACCTGTTGCCTAGCCTGACCATGGCTGCCATTAAATAGTAGTTTATAGGCTGGGAGGAAGGCCAAGGCTGGGCCAGGCAGTGGGCCCTGTGGATGTCAGCACTGTGCTGAGTTACATGGTTCCCTTGGGTTCTTCAACTCCAAGAAGACTTTCGAAGGAAAGAGCTGAGTGGAAAGGAGGTGCAACTGTGGGCAGGAATATAATGCAATGGGAAATGGAGAGGGGCAGTACTCCCATTTGAAACTGAAGAGGAAAGTCAACATATTCAAAAAAGCAGGGAAATGAGAGGATGAAGACAAGATTGAGATCACGTGATGGAGGGAGGGTAGAGGTTGATATCTGAACAGCAATGTCAGTAGTAATGAAAGGCAATGGGGAGTAATGGATAAGAGCTGGCCTCAGGCAGGAAGACCTGGGTTCAAGTTCTGAATGAGACCCATTTTGGCTATGTGACCCTGAACAAGTTACTCAACCACTTAGTGCCCCAGGCAATTGTCTAAATTGTCCAGGAAGGTCTGATTTGCATAAGTAAATGGAGTTCCCACTGGGAAATAAATCCCTAAGCCTGTTAAATCACTGTTGAGAGAAAGACAGAGAAAATAAAAATAAAAAAGACAGAGCATTGTGTTGTGGATACAACACCAGAGCTGATGGAAGGGAGACCCAAGTTCAAGTCCTGCCACAGACACTTATCAGCTATGTGACCCATGGCAAGTCATATAAACTCTAACTTGGTTTCCTCATCTATAAAATGGGGATAATAATTGTACCTACCTCATGGGGTTGTTGTGAAGATCAGATGAGAATATTTGTAAAGCAGTTTACAAATCTTAGAGCACTATATAAATGCTGGCTATTATTATTGTACAAAGAATTTTCTCATAACAATCCTGTGAGGTAGGAATTATTTCTGTTTTACAGATGAGAAAACTGAAGCTCAGAGCAGTTAAATTATTTGTCCAGAATTACATAGTTATTCAGTGGTAGACCAGGATTCAAACATAGGTCTTTTGCCTCTAAGTCTAGTATTCTTTTTATTATGCCCTGCTATGCTATGTAGCAGAAAGGAAAGAAACTAATTGTATGTTTTATAATGTTTTACTTTTCCCCCAATTATGTGTTAAAATATTTTAAAACATTTTTCCTAAGATTTTTTAATTTTAATTTATTTTAAATTATCACTTCCATAAGCTTTTGAGTTTTAAATTTTTCTCCCCCTCCATCACCTCCTCTCCCCAAGAGGCATGCAATCTGATATAGACTATACATATACGTTCCTGTTAAACATATTTTCACATTGGTGATGTTGTAAGTAAGAATTAGAGCTAATAGGAAGAACTACCAGAAAGAGGAAACAAAATACAATAGAAGAAAAAAAAATAGCAAATAGTATGCTTCGATCTGCATTCAAACTCCATAATTCTTTCTTCTTTGTGGATAGCATTTTCCATCATGAGGCCTTTGGAGATGTCTTAGAACCTGGTATTGCTGAGAAGGGTTAAGTCTATTAACATTAGTCATTGTACAACATGGCTATTACAGCGTACAACGTTTTCCTGGTTCTGCTCACTTCACTCAGCATAAGACCATTCAAGTCTTTCCAGGTTTTTCTGAAGTCAGACTGTTCACCATTTCTTATAGCACAATAATATTCCATTACATTTATATACCACAACTCATTCAGTCATTCCCCAATTGATGGGCATTCTCTCAATTTCCAATTCTTTGCCACCACAAAAAGAGCTGCTATAAATATTTTTTTGTACATGTGGGTCCTTTTCCCATTTGTATGATCTCTTTGGGATACAGCCCTAGAAGCACTATTGCTGGGTCAAAGGGTATGCCCTTTGGGCAAGTTCCAAATTGTTCTCCAGAATGGTAGGATCAACTCACAACTCCACCAACAATGCATTAGTGTCCCAGAAACTAATTATATTTAAGCTATTAAGCTATGTAAGCTACTAAAGTTTAAAACTGCACTAAGACTTTTGGGACACCTGGAATATAATAAAAGCCCACTAATTTCCTGAAGGAAGACCTATTTGTGCAGATGCATTGTATAATTTTTTAAAGAAAAAATGTGACTACTTTGAAAAGTAATTTTTAAAAATTTACTTCTTGTATATATTTCATATGTATAGGGTATCACAGATATGGTCCCTCTGGGGCTGGCTATGAAAGCAGTCCTAATAGTGAAAATATGGGGCAGCTAGGTGGCACAGTGGATAGAGCTCTGGCCTTGGAGTCAGGAGGACCTGAGTTCAAATACGGCTTTAGACACCTGACACTTACTAGCTGTGTAACCCCATTGCCTAGCAAAAACAAAAAACAAACAAAAAACCCCCCTCAGAAACTAATAATGAGAATATTCTGTCAATGCCATCTCCCTTGTTTACAACAGAGGCCAAGGAATAGATCATAAGAACTAGAAAGGAACTTAGAGGCCATTAAGTCCAACCCCTTCATTTGACAGATAAGGAAACTGAGGCCCAGAAAGGCCTAGGTGACTTGTCCAAGGTCACACAGCTACTAAGAATCTGAAATGAGATTTGAACCCAGGTCTTGTTGACTCTTTTAAGTCCTGCGCCCTATCTGCTTGAGTGATGCTTCTGCTTTTCTCTCTGTTATCTCCCCTGATACAATGTAAACTCCTTAAGATCAGGGAATGATTCAGTTTTGTTTCTGCATTTCCAGAGCCTAACCCAGTGTCTGGTGTTGCAGATACTTAATAATGCTTGTGAAATGAATAATTGATAGAATATGTGTTCTCTTTTCCTGACCTTGTTTCTGTCATCTGCATGTGCCTTTTAAAATTGTAGATGGTTGATGATTTCCCTGAGTATCCACAACAGGTAGTTTACGCAACTACCTTTTTGCCCTCTCCTCACAGCAATTATTTCTCCCTTTCTTCCACATTTTATCCTTGATGGTTTTCCATCCTGCCTAAGCTAACTTTCCTTATAGGATTTAAGACCACTGGATCCTACCTCTCCTTTCTCTGAGCCTTTTGAGATTTATTCTCCTAAAATTTGGGGTACATATCAGAATATCCCTGGCTTTCTTCTTTTTCCATCACCAAGTCTAAGTTGGAGTGCTTATTTCCCTCCAAGTTTCTCATTTGTGCCCCTAGCAGCCAGTTCCTCCTTGTTGGTGACAATAAGACATAGAATAGCCATAGTTCCCCTTCTTGGTTCCTCCATTTCCCAGACTTTAAAGCATATTACAAATGTATTACCTCAGCAATACACAGAAACCATTCCACCCTCAGCCACAAGTGTTGTACTTTCATTATCAAGAACTCTGAAATATTTCTGTCTGATCACAACCTCTTATCATTCCATCTCTGCCTGTGTTTCTCTCCTCCTAAACATCTTCTTTGTACTTACTTAGATAGTCCTTTCACCCTTTAGTACCCTTCTAGACCAATACTTGGCCTCCCTTTCCTTCCTTCCCAGTCCTTGTGCTATAGATGACAAGTTTAACTTGGCTCTCACTGTCTTTTCTATTCTCCAAACCCTGTCCCTCTTGTGCTCTATTACCATTTATACCTTGCCAAGACCCAACCCTGGATTCACTTACCATCAATTTCTTCTACTCCTACTCATGCTCTGGAACTATTTAGAAGGTCTACTACCAGTTCATATTATCTAATTCCCACTGACTCCTTATTGCCTTAAGGCAGTCCTTTTAATCTTTCCTAATTGACTTTTCCTTAAGTCTCCAACACTATCATTT